GCACATAAAGAAAGAGTACACCCCAGAGCGGAGGGGCCACGCCTCTCCTGGCCTTGTGTCAGGGTAAGATTGGGGGGGGGGGGGGGGGGTCTTACCACTCCTGTTCTCTTGCTGACTCACTCTGGAGGCAGGTGTGAGCACGGGAGTAGGAGGGGGCAACAGATCAAGCTTCACTCTTCTTTTTCTTTGTTCTCTCTTTACTTCCTCCCCCTCCCTTTCTTCCTCTCCTCTCTCTCCATCCTTTTTCTCTTTCTTTTTATGGCACTAGGGATTGAACTTAGGGCCTCCAGCATGCTAGGCAAATACTACATCTAATCTACATCCCAGGACCTCTTTCTACTTTAAACAAATAATATTTTTTATTCTTTGACATTTTCATGTATTTATATAATACATTTTGATCTTATTCACGCCCCCACGACCTATCTCCAATCCCCCCTCGGACCCACAAACCCTCTCACTTCCAGTTTCATGCATTCTTTATTAGTATTATTATTAATTACTGATAGCCTATTAAGTCCAATTAGTGTTGACCATGTGATACTGGATATGGAGCCACCCACTGGGGCATGGGCAACATACCAGAAGCCACATCCCCAAAGATAGTGATTCTCCCTCAGCAGCCATCAACTGCCAATAGTTCCTCAACAAGAAATGGAACCTCAGGAAGCCTCCCTTTTTGACTTTTTATTTGGGGACATGGTCTCACTGAGTTGCCAGACTGGCTTTGAACTCACTCTGTAGCCCAGGGCAGTTCTTGAACTCACTGTTGTCCTGCTTCAGCTTCCCATGGAGTTGGGATTATAGCCCTATGCCATGAAGTTTAGCAAGCTTCTCCCTTCTAACATTCTGAAGTTCAAAGTTAGAGGCCTGAGGCCCAGAGGTGGCCGATGGCCTGGGAGCATCCTTCTGGTACAATGACAATGACAAGAGCTAGAGCCAAAGCAAACAGGTGGCATGCCATCAGCCTCTGTCAACCCTGCACTCAGCCTCCTGCCCACGGGAATTCAGCTACATCCCTGCCCTTCTCCCCATGGAGCCCCTCAGCTGGCCTTCCCTACCCCACTGCCAAACTTGCACATTTGCTGCATTTGTATCTCCCATCCCTTATCCCTCAGCCCTTTCACTGCCTACCACTCACTGGGGCTCACTGGGACTCTAAACCCTACTCTGAGCAGCCCTAGGACTCTCTGGGCCTGAGCTGGGACTAGGAGAAAACAAAGGAAATACTTAGGGTGTTAATTTAAGGAGGCATTCATTCTCAGGGTTTTGTAAGCATAGGATTCAGACCTAGATTTTGTACCACTTTAAATTTTTCTTCCAGGACTGGTCAATGTAGGCATCTAACCCAATTAGCTCTTCTTAGGGTTCCAGTTCATAAGGCAGCCCCTCTCTCCCAGGGGATGACCTCTGACCTCCTCTCTCACACACAGATGAACACTGTCTTCTGGGCTGCATCTCCAAATCTCTCTCATCCAGCTCCCACCGCTGTTCTCTGTCTCTCGGCCATTGGCCACCCCTTCTTCCTGCTGCCACACTCTGCAGGGATCTCCTCCATCTGCACTGCCAATCTCCGTGGCTCCCCAGTAGTCCCAGGCTCCCTCCAAAGATCGACCCCGATGGAGTCATTTCAGCACCACAGACACACTAAGCTCTCACCTCAGAGCCTCACACCCACCCCGTCCACTACCTCAAACAGGCTGTTCCTTCTTTCTGCCTTGGAACACTGGCTGGAATTACATTTCTTCACCCAAAGAGATAGCCTCTCCTTTCTTCTGCTCCCACAGCCTCTGCCCTATGCCAGTCCCTCTCAAGTGTGATTGACCCACTACCATCAGCTCCCACAGCCTAGAAAAAAGTACTTGACAGAGCTTAGACACTCAGGTAGACTTTGACGCATGGATAAATGCATTTATTTGTGAGTACATAAATGGGTTGTCATGTAGGTGGCTTTGGTGGCTGGGCAGGAATGAAGGGAGATAGTATATAAGCTATTGCCAGGGCCTGCCCATGGCAGCAGGTGGCTGGAAGGAGGAGGCCACATCACCTCCAGCATCTGGGTGCTATTTTAATGGCCTGGCAGTGAGGTGTGTGCATGGCAGAGGCCTGCAGAAGAGGTAATGCCAAGTGGGCAGCTCTGCCCACCTGTAATTATTGCTTGAGTCTTTCTGGCAGAGACAGCTGCCTGCCCCAGGGAGCTCTGTCTTGTCCATCACAGTGTGAGCTCCGGGTGGGGCTGCTGACACTGCCAGCCAGGAAGACAAGAGGAGGTTCCCTGGGGCCTTTGGGTCTTGGAGAGCAGAGACAGCCCCAGGCTTGGACTCTGCTCTGTTCCTGTTCTGCTAGCCCCCAGAACAGCAGAAGGGTGCCCTCGACTCAAGGGTCCCAATCAAGAACCCTTCAATGTGGCCAAGGAGCAAGCCAGCTGGAGGAGAGCCTACAGCACCCCCAGGGAGTGAGCCTCAGATGGTTTGGTGTCTGTTGACATGGAAGCCCTTGGGAAGATGGCGCCCTAGTGGCTGGCTGGGCAGGTGGACAGCTCAGGCCTGGAAGGAGGCTTTGACCACCCGGCCTTTCAGTGGCTGTGGTGGCCGGAAGTTGTTCACCATGTGGATTCTCTCATCATCCTCGGAGGTGAAAAGCAGGCTCCGAAATTTCTCCATCTTAAGAAAGCAAAAGAGAGAAGAGAGGGCGCTAAAGAGATGGATGGCTGAGTGGTTAAGAGCACTGGCTGCTCTTGCAGGGGAAGGGGTTTCAGTTTCTAGCACCCACAAGGCTGCTAACAACTGCCTGTAGGTCCAGTTCCAGAGTATCTGACGCCCTTTTCTGGCCTTCACAGGCATTGCATACACATGCACTTATATACATGCACGCAAAACACTCATATGCATGGAATAAAAATAAATAAATTTTAAAATTTTTTTAAAAGAAGGCAAAAGGGATGGTCAGGGCAGAGTGGCGTGCTCTTGTCCTCTGTGACTCGGTGCTGCTCATTCATCTCCACCCTTCTTTCCTCCTGCTCCTTGAGCTTAGACTTACCCCCATATTCTTTCTTAGCTTTGAGATCTCAACCTCAGTTTTTATTCCCTAATGGGCTGCTGAACACAGACCTGCCACCTTGTTCTAGTTCCAATCTACCTGAGGTGTTTGGGCAATTACAGCTTTCCAACTACAACACAGTAAGGATGATCCCAGGATTCCAGCCTCTCCTTCCCTGCCATATCTGGGTCCTCAGGCCTAACAAGCAAGCTCATGTCACCCAAAGATCCTAATGTTTATTAGCCAAAGATGGGAGCTGAATGAGAGGGTGGGTAGCAGTTGGGGGGGCGGTCATTACCCTGCTGAAAGTGAACCTGAGTACTTCCCACTTCTCCTGGGACTCTGAGAGGACTCACCTGCCTCTCAGAGATTCTGATAGGCTCCCGGAGCACGATCCAGGTGACACTCTCGCTGAGTGGAGGTGTGGTCAGGGAGCCAGGGTAGGTCCAATAGTGCCGGCTGGTGGGCAGGAGGCACTTAGGGTTGAAGCAGCTGAACTGGGCCTTGGTACCCTGGGCAGGGTGGACCTGGGAATTAGCACAGAGCTCCCACCAAGACTAGCCCAGCAGCTTCCTTGCTCATTGCTGTCAGCAGGATTCAAGATTCTTGATCCACTGATGCAAATCATGAGCAAATATCTGTGACCCCAGGTTCTACCTCCTAGCCTGGGCTGGGTCCTCTAGTTTGCTTGTATGTAAAAGCTGTGGCTTCTGGGGCTCTCTGGTCACTGTGCTCATGGATGCACTCAGAGATACAGTATGACAGACCACAGTATGACCAGCACCTTATAAATCCTATATCCTACCAGGTTATGTACTTGGCATCCATGGGACCCTGATGAAAAAGGCCAGGTGTGTGGTCTGAGGAGCCAACCCTCACCCTAGGTCTCAGGCAGGGATGCTGATGGAATGAGCCATTGTGAGGCAGCCTCATCTGTCCTCCCTCCCCAGCTGGCTGCTCTACATCAGGGGCAAGCAACCCCTGGTCTGACCTTAAACCGGACCATGTAGAGTGCGTCCGTCAGACGGTTCATGCTGGGGTGCTCATCCCCTGTCTGTCAGGGAGAAGATAGTATGAACTCTCAATCCCTTCATTCATGCCAGCCTCCCATGCCCTTCTCAGCACTGGGGATCTATCACCTACCTCTAGGAAGACACCAACCACAGCCAGGCCATCAGGGGCTGCAGCCGCCTCCCCAAAGGTGCTGTACTTCTTGGCATTCCAGTGAACCAGATGTAGCTGTATAGGGCAAGAACAGGCTGGGCCAGGGCTGAGTGCCTCCAGGGGTAACAGGAGGATGGAATGAGGCTCCCCTCTCTCCCTCTGCAGGAGTGGGGCTACAAGCCTCCCAGGCTCAGGATCCTTGAGAGTCTCTGGAGAACCACAGGTAGCATCCACCCTACTCTGGACCCTACCCTTTCCCAAGTCCCAGGATACTCTGGATCTGGCCTCCTCCCACCTCCCACCTAGCTGTGAAAGCCACACCATCTTGTGAAGTCTCCCTGAGGAGGTGGCAGGTAACACCTGCAGCTGAATCCAAAAATAAGTAGCTGGTTATCAGAGGGAAACTTTGGGAAAGGCATTCTAAGCAAAGGGAACAGCATAGGCCAAAGCTTGGAGGCATGTGTGGGATAGGTGACAGTGCAATGGAGAAGACACTGGAGCTTGAGGTCAGGCAAGGGAGTTCATGCAGGGCCTCCTGGAGTGCATTCCACTCTTGAATGTTGGCAGAGTGTGGTAAGACAAATAAGGTCCTTTCTAGAACTTGGGGATGCACAGTCTAGGACAGTGTGGGCAGTGTGCAGATGGGGGGGGTCTCTCCCAAAGGTGCTCTTCCACATGTTCTCCAGAACCCCCACCCCAGGTATCTTGAGCCCCTACTGCTTCATCCCCCTTCCTTCTCCAGGCAGCAGAGGGATACAGGGAAAGGACCTCACCTCACTAGGGAAAGACTTGCCGTCCACCGTGTGCTCTGATCCCACATCGTGTTTCTTGCCCCAGTGGAAATGGAACTGCTTGAGGCGATAGGGCCCTTCCAGGGGACCCCCAGTCACCACTGTGGGTAGAAGGGGGATGTGACAGTTCAAGTGAGAGGATCCTCAGCCTGGTGGGTGGACCCAGGTAGTAGCCCAGGCTACTTTGATTTATTTATCTATTTTGGCTATACTAGGGATTGAACATAAGGCCTTGCATATGTAAAACAAGCACTCTGCTACTGAGCTGCATCTCCAGGCCTTTATGGACTTTTTGAGATAGGGTCTTACAAAGCTGCCCAGGTCAGTAGCTTGTGGTCATTTTGTATCAGCTTCCATGGTAGCTAAGATTCCAGGCCTATACTACCAGGCCCACCTACAGGCTATGTTTTTCATGTAGAAAACCTGCTGGGTAGGACATGGGTCTGCCCCACCAGACCCCAACCTACGTCAAGACAGAAAGCCTGACAGCCTGAAGGTAGCAAAGGAGTACAGCTTTGCACTGGGCCCTCCTCCAGACTCCTGTCTATTCCTGTGGAAGCTGGGCTCCTGCCTTTCAGGCCCTTTGTTCCCACTAAATAGGTCTCCCATATCTGGGGCCCTGACTCACAGGTTGGAAAATTATTTTGTTTAGTCCTCCTAGTAGCCCAAGAGGGGCTGAATCTATTTTTGACCCTATTTTATTTTGTTTTTAATTTTTAATCAATTAATTCATTTTTATCTTATGAGTGTTTTGCCTATATGCATTTAAGTGCACTCATGCATGTAATGCCTGTGGAGTCCAGAAGAGGGCATCAGATCCCATGGAATGGAAGTTACAGATAGTTGTTAGCTGCCACATGAGTGCTGGAAATCAAACCTGGGTCCTCTGGAAGAGCAACGATTGCTCTTAACAAACTGGGAGCCATCTCTCCATCCCCTTGACCCTTTTTCATTTATAAAAATAAAGGAGGAAACTGAGGCAAGATCACATAACAAACCATTGAACTACAGTATAAGCCCACATCCCCTGTGTCCCAAACCCATAACCATCAGGCTATACTGCCTTCCTACAACCTGGACTGAACCTCCCTAGGACTCTGTGTGGCCCTAGAGCAGGAAGCCATCTCCTGAGAGTCTCTATACTCCCAGATGGTCTCAGGGGCTCCCAGTGTCATTTCCTATACAAATGGCCTCTTTGGAGGGCCCCACCTGTGTTGATTTTGTAACTTTCTCACCTTGATAGCGAGTGATCTGGGGACACTCACAAGGTCTCTTGGGACTGATAGAATTTCCAGCTGAAAGGGATCTGTTAGTGAAGAGGGCCCCAGTCAGGCCTGAATGTGAGCTCCTGGATCAAGTGACAGCTCTAGGCTCAGTGTTCCACCAGACTTCTTCATGATGGATGACCAGAGCAGGGCCTTATACGCTGTGAGGTCCTTGAGGAGGCCAAGACAGTCCAGGGGCCCCTCTTTGCTGCCCTGCCTTATATGAAGAGCAGGGCCTTAGTAAAAGTTGACAAAAAGAATCTGGGGACTGGGCTTGGTGGCTCTACACAGGGTCCCAGTTTGTCCTATGGCAGACAGACTTCCTGATCCACCTATAGGGGTCCACCTTTCTGTGCTTGCCTCTCCTGGAACCCTATAGGATGGTATCTGAGAAGGATGTCCCCTCCCTAATTCCTTGAGGTTGGCTCTACTTCCTCCCTCCATTCCCCCTCTATCTGACCATAGATGCCCTGCTGTTCACTGTGAAATCACTATGTGTTTGGTGTTCTGTGGGTATCAACCCATTTGACCTCCAGAGTAAGCCACAGTAGTAAGTGGCAGAGCCCCATTTTTCTTCTTTCCACAGGCTCCCTGACTCCTTCAGGCCTGCCAGAGATATGAAATCCCAGCCAGGCCTCGATGTGAGTCCTCTAACCAGTAATCCAAAGGCATGTTTGAGTTGAGCCCTCTGAAGGCTGTTGGAAGGAAAAGCCATGAAAATTGTTCCTCTATAAACTGCCATCTAGGGTCATCTAGACTCCCATATCCCCTTCCCAAGGCTCTGGATAAAAGACTTTTCTTAGAATTCGAAACAAGGCAATGCTTTGTCTCTCTTTCCTAAGAATCTGCTTGACTTACTTCTGTAGCAAGAACTGTAGCTGATTTTCTTTTCCTTTTTTTCCCTAACCTACAGGGGAACTCAGAGCTAAACAAACTGAGATCACTCCCCCTATGAAAGACCTGGCTTTCCTCTTCTCTTGATTTTCTGTTTGAAAGTTAAGAGTGCTTTCATTGAATAGTGGTGTGGGGACAAGTAAAGAACCCAACACTTCCTTATATAAGAAACCCTAGCAGGTTCTCTCCTTGACTCCCTTACTGGCCCTGTGATAAGAACAAAATTCCTTCACTAAAGAGTAATCTCTAAAACCTCTGCCTAGGAATTCATCCTGAAAGATCCTGGACTCTAATCCTAAAGCAAACAGGAAGTAGCTGCTACAACTTCCTATGGGCCTCACTCTGGCCATGATGGCGAGGACCTTGAGGTCATGGGTGAGTTGGAGAGAGAGATCAATGAAGCTGAAGAGGCATGTCTGAAAACCACCCCATAAACTGTCATTTAGACCCTTATGTCCCCTCCCTAAGGCCCAAGGCTCTGTGTGAAAAGTTCTTCTAAGATTCAGTATAAAGGATGTTTTGTCTTTTGTTCCTGAGGATCTGCTAGACTCCCCTTTTTGGTTGTTTTTGTTGTTGTTGTTTTGGTTTGATTTGGGTTTGTTTTTTATTTTTTAAAGACAAGGTCTCTAGCCCACACTGGCCTTGAACTCATAATACAGCCAAGGATGACCTCACATTTCTGATTCCCCTGTCTTTACATCCAGAGTACAGGGATTGTAGACATGGACCACCACTCCCAGTTTTTATGAGATGCTGGATACCAAACCCAGGGCTTTGTGGATTCTTAGCAAGCATTCTACCAATTGAGCTGCATCCCCAGCACCAGGTGAGTTGTTTGTGTATTTATTTTTTGCTAAGGATCAAACCTAGGGCCTTGTGCATGCTGGGTAAGTGCTCTACCACTGAGCTATAGTCATAGCAATGGGTTCTTGAAGAGTTGACATGAGCTGCTGCGGGAGTTCTAGGGAGAAGTTTGGCACACAGAACACTTCTGTCCTCTCTCCCTGTGGGGGGCCTGGCCTGATCACAGGGAGGAGAGCTTGGCCTGGGGCCACAAGCAGGTCAGTGAAAGGCCAGGAGTGAAAACAAATCTGATCTGAAACACTGAGAGGAAGGGAAGGAAGGGACTTAGCATTTCTCGAGCATGAGCATCGTTTTGTGCCAGGACTACAAACATCAATTCCTTTTTTCCTTTTTTTTTTTCTCATTGCCCCCTCTATGACCCTAGAAAGGAGATCTTTTTGCTCCCATTTTATACAATGGCCATTGAGGCTGAGCTCCAGGTTTCACAGCTGTTGAGAGGTAGAGCTTTCCTCCGTCACCACAGCAAGCTGTGGTTCCTGAGCCTGCCCCCACCCACAGTGACGGCCCTAAGGTAAGTGGTGCCAAAGGACAGAGGCTACTTACCAGTTCGATCATCACTGTCATTGAAGTCCACCTGGACAGAGTGGCCATTGTTGGTGATGCTGAGGGATGTGCAGGCCTCATAGAAAATCTCCAGTGGCTGCAGGCTGGGTGAGTACACAGCCTGGCTGGATATGATATTGATGGGTGATTGGCGGTCTCCCTGGGCGATCGGATATAGCTTGTGCCAATTTGAGGGACCTGCAGGTAGGGAGGGGGCAAGGACTCAGGCCAACCAGGCTTCAGGCTAAGGGAAGGCCTGGGGGACAGTAGCTGCTGCTTTAGAACCACGAAGTCATGAATTCTAATCCCTCTTCTGTATCTTTCCTGCTCAGCTTCCATTTTCTTGTCTGGGAAACAGCCTCCCCCATCACTGATAGGAGGCCCAGTGAGGCATGCAAGGAAAGGACATTAACATAGCTACAGGCTCAGAGTCTAGCAAACACTCAAGGAGCTCCTGGAGCATCTGAAACCACTCTACCTGACCCTATCAGGAATTTAGCCTCCTCCTGCACCATGAGCAACTTAGTGCAAACTTGGCACTTGCAATAACAACAAAAACTCACATCAACCTGGCATTAGCTAGGTGACTTGTATTTGCTCCTCACAACCACAACCTTATGTGGTAGACATATTATAGATTAGGAAGCTGAAGACTGCTCATGTATGTTCACAAGTGCACACATGTACTGGTATAAGCACAAAGCGTGTGCCTGTACTACCTCCAGGTGTCCTCCCTCCCCAGGCATATACTAATGGGTCCATAGAGATTTTCATATGTACACACACATTTGTACACATACCTGGGTTCACCAAGTCAAGAGAATCCAAGCCCAGAATATACATATATATACACACAGAGACCTACTGATTACATCTGACACACACATATGAACCCTCACACACAGACCCCTCCTGTTGGAAACCCCATTAAGGGACCACAGCATAACACATGCCCATACACACATACACCCATGCATGCGTGCACACACACCTGCATATACACCCACAGGCGCCCACCACCTGCCTCCCAGAGGCTCCATCTGCAGCCGGGAGGCTCAGCATCTCCCTGGGGAACATCCTGAGATGCAGCCTATTTTTAGAGCAACTGCCGGCTGGTGCTTCTCCCCCTTTTTGGCTTCTTAAGTTTTCCCGAGAAAACAGCAGCAGGTGCCGACAGAGCCGTGTCCCCAATGGATGACTCAGAATGGTGGCCCAGCCTCACTGGGTTATTTTTGAAGCCCTGTGAGCGCTGCCGCATGAGGGCACCTCTGTCCTCTGTCCTTCCCGCTCCTAGACTAGAACCCCAGGTCTGGTTGGCTGAGGGGCAGCCAGCGATTCAGGATGCTGGAAAACAGCAGGAAGAGGGACTGGGACTCCTGGAGAGACACTCAAAAGCTGGCTCCGGTGCGTGCTGTGGGGAAGATGGTCTTCCATGGCTTTTAACAACCTGACCCTTCTCTGCCTCTCTCCATCTCTGCCTGTTTTTGTCACCCTTTTCTGACTGTCCAGTCTATCATGTCCGAATCTAAGGTTGCCTTTCCAAAATATGGCCCTTTGTCGCTTGGGGTCCCAGAGAGAGACAGAAAACTGCCGCGACCACAGGATTCCTTCTGGACCATTGCAATTTCCTACCACAAACGGAGCCCGGGATGTCCACTCACCCTCACCAAGTGACAGTCGGTGGAAAAAAGTGGGGCTGAAGGAAAAGTCTTCCCTTAGCCACTTGTTTCCCCCTGGCCTCCACCTGTCCTGCCTGGGTTCCCCTCCTGACAGCCTGGATTTCAGGTGATCATCCTTCCTCCCCGGGAAATAGGGAATCCCTTGCCCCACACCCAATCTCTTGGCAAGAAAGCGACTCAGATGGAACTGACCTGTCCCAGAGCCACGAGCAAGCTATCTGACTTACCTGCTTCTCTCTTCCTCTACATGCTAGGGAAACTGAGGCAGAATAAAGCTATCCCGGATGCTGGTGCCAGTCCCTGTCTCCCAGCACTCCCACTTAGATGGGACACGCTGAAAGGCGCCACTAAGTCTAACACCCAGACATTCTCGTGCGTCCCCTAGTCTCCCCAACCCTAAGGTGCCAGGCGGCACCACAGCTTGGACACTCCGGCGGAGAAACTCTCCCGGGGACACTGCGCCCTTGCCTACACGGAGCCCAGGTCCGGGGAGGTCCCCGCACTCCCGCCGTGCGCGCTCCCCGCACTGACACCCGCGCATGGCGCTGCGACGCGGCCGCCCCCCGCCGCCCTGGGCCACCTCCACGCGCTGCGCACGCGGGGGAGAGCTAGTGCTGGGCCGGGGTGGGAGACGGCGCTGCAGTCCCGGGCTGCGCGGAGGCGGAGGCAGGACGCGCTCAGCCTTCCTCCGGGTGGCTTGCCGCCTGGAGCAGCGCGGACTTTGCACCCGGCGGGGGGAAGAAGAGCTGGGGCCGGGCAGGTGGGCAGGGTTCGGGGGGTTGGGGAAGATAGGAATCCGGGGGGTTCTGGAGAGTGAGGCTCGCGGGTTCCCAAAACCCGACTAGATGCTAGGGTTGCGGTGAGTTCAGCTAGGGGAGGACCAGTGGTCTGCGCCTACCGTCGTCCTGGCCGTAGCCCCAACCGTGGTGGCCGGTCATGCCGCTGCTGTCTCCACGGCCGTCCACCTACCGGCTCTGCTCAGTCCGCTTGCTTGGGCTGCGGCTCCAGCCCCGCTTGCGGCGGTGGAGCAGCCTCTTAAAGTGGCGGCGGGAGGCGGGCGGGAGGAGCAGTTCCCCGGGGACCCGCCCCCCACCCCCCAGCAGGACTGGAGAGGCCGAGTCTGCCCTGCCCCCACCCTCCAGCAGGCCGAGAGGGGTGTCCCTAAATCGAGATAAGCGGTCAGGGAGGTGAGCCTCTTCCTCATCCTTTACCTGCTCTTGGGCTCCCATCACTCACATTCCTGTCTTCCAGCACGTGTGTGGACTCTGGAACACGAGAAACCATCCACGCTGAGAGGTGCAAGATTTCATCACTTGCATCCCCTTCCCAGGCTTGTCCCCAGGCAATAAATGCCACCACCGAGGACCTGGGCTCAGCACTCCGGATGCTCTGGGGATGGAAACGAAAGCTGCACTGACCAGCAAGTGTCCAGGCGCTGTGGTGGGTAGTGAGATAACCTTTGGGTCCCTCCTGCCATGTAGCCATTTCCACAAGTAGAGTGTGCATAGTGCTGCTATGTGACAGAATAGGGGACCGAGGCCCAAAGAGGTGAAATGGCCTGCCCGAGGTCATCTAGAGCCAGCATGAGGGATCATCTGCAGTTTGTCTCATTTCAAATGCTTTGGTCTTCACCGTTTCCATTTGGTTCTGGGAACGAAAGGCTCCTGTGAATGTGAGAGTCTGGGAGCCTTGGGGAAGATTTGGAATAGGACTGGCAATCTTCAAACCCTGGGCCCAAGTGGAATCAGAGCCCTAAAGCAGAAGTAGGGAGCCGTGGCATCAACCAATGGGCTTAGAGAGAGGCAGATCTGGGGATGGCTTTCTGGAATCAAGTATGAAGCCAGGCCTCTTAGCCTCCCTCTGAGTCTCTCTGTACCCTCCTTTCTTCAGGGACTGCCTGTCTTTCCAAAGACTGCTATGTGTGCCTCTCCTTGCCTCCCCATGACCATCTATGCACCTGCTGGGCACTCAGGCCCTCCACCCTGTACTCAACCTTGGTGTTTGCCTTTGCCCAACATTTCCACACCTACCAGTCCTGGTCCTTGCTGTGCCCTCCTCCTGGTTTGCCCTCTGTCTTCCACCCACTGGCTCCAGCCAACCCAATCTGATTCATCTTAGCATGTGGCTTTGTGCCAAGGATAGGGCCTGTCTTTGGCTAGGTCTCAGCAGGCAGATAAACAGATGGGTTGATGGAAAGATAGACACATGGTCCCACCCAGGGCCCTATTTCTAATAGGAGCTGATGAACCATTTGAAGAAAGTCTCTGCTATTCAGACCTTGACCCGGGACCACTCTTTTAGTCTCTGCTCTTGGTTGACCTTGGGAAGACTCTGCCATGTCATCTACCTGGCTCTTTTACATTTCTCTGTCTGTCTCAGTTTCTTCTTCTTCTAGTTCCCCAGATAAAACCATCTCATTCACACATAGTCAACCCGACCAACTTCAGTGACTTCCTAGTCCTACAAAGATGCCCTTCTCTGACCCAAGTGCAGGAAGGGACTCAGTATAGATCTGACCTCAGGGTAGGGGCAGAGGACTAATGATCAAGAGGCAGAGGGTGGTCCCCAAGACCAGCAACTTGATAGATTCTTTCAGTTAAAGCACCAGTTCTCCAAACCAGAAACAGCAGCTACAGATTGGCAAGACAATGAACAAGGGAAGGCGTACTGTCCTGTCTCCTAGAGTGAGCAAGCCCTGTCTAGAGAAGAAGCTACAATGCCCTTCAGGATCTAGGGAGGACACAGACTTCACTGACCACCCCTTCTCTTCATAGCAACCCAAGCCTTTTCCATATGCATTTATAGTACTTAAAGAATAAAATTGGGCTGGGTGTGGTAGCATACCTCTTTAATCCCAGCACTCGGGAGGCAGAGGCAGGTGGATCTCTCTGAGCTCAAGGCCAGCCTGGTCTACACAGTGAGTTCCAGGCCAGCTGGGGCTACAGGGAAACCCTGTCTCAAAAAGACAAAAAAAAAAAAAAAAAAAAAAAAAAAAAAAGAATAAAATTGGATGGGGCTGGAGAGATGGCTCAGTAGTTAAGGGCAAGGCTGGAGAGATAATGGCCCAGCAGTTAAGAGCATTTGCTGTTCTTGCAGAAGACCTGGGTTCAATTTCTAGCACCCACACAGCAGCCATTTTTAACTCCAGTTCTAGGGGGATCTGATGCTGTCTTTTGGCCTCTGTAGAAATTGCAAGCATACAAGCACTCACATACATGCAGGGAAAACACTCACACACGTAAAATAAAATAATTTTTAAAAAAGTTTTTAAAAAAGAATAAAATTGGAATGCTTCACCATTTTGTACCCAGTGTCACCCTCACAGGAACCCTGGGGAGATTTGACCCATTTTACAGATGAAAAAAGCAAGGCTCAGAGAAATTAAGTGATGGGCTGAGAAGGCACAGTGACTGACAGAATAGGGATGAAAATCCAGACTGTTGGCTCTCTTGTTCAACACTGTTTAAAAATCGCTGCAAGGGGAGAAGCGTTCACATTTGTGTACATACACAAGGACTAAAGAGAAGCTAGGGAGAGTGTTGTACTTCAGGGAGGGGACCAGAGATGGGAAGAGGGGGGAGGGTACAAAATGGAGGTGGGAGGAGCACGCCACAAAGTCCTTTGCACCTTCTAAAAGAAATGGTGTGCACAGTGTATTGGCTTTTTAATACCAAATTTTTAAAAAATCCAATTCTTTTCTTCCTGCAGCTCTTTTCAGTAATTTCTCCCTGGTGCTGGGAACTCAGGTTAAGCAGGAAGGGCCAGTGACATCTGCCCTTCCAGGTGAAGTCCCAGCGGCCCTAGCAGCCCACCTAGGTCAATTTGGGGAAGACAATGCCCCCATTCAGATACCTCCAGTTTCAATTACATGCTCTCTTTAAAGCTGAACTGATTTCTCTGCCTGAGGGTTTACTCTTTGGTCTCACTGGCATCTACAGTTCCTGGATTTCACTATTTATGGGGGTGGGGATAAGAATGTGGGAACTATAGAGGACTGTTTGCAAAGCCATGGCTCATTTATCAAACAACCTTGGTCAGGCCTCACTTTCCTTTTCCTAAGTCAAATGTTATTGCTCTACAACAAGACAATGGTGGGGGATGTCCTTGCCCTGTCCACATTACAGGGATCTCTGTGGATATACACCAAAACAACCGATGTCCAGTGCTGCACCAACAGGCAGAATCATGCCTCCTTCTCATTACTTGCTATGTATGCTGGATAGCTTTAGTGTCAACTTGACACACCTGGGTTGAGGGAGCCTCAATTAGGGAATTTCCTCTATTGGACTGGCCTGTGGCCATGTCTGAGAGGCATCTTCTTGATGAGTGATGTGGGAGGGCCCAGCCCACTGTGGGTGGTGCCACCCCTGGGCAGGTGGGCCTGTGTTGCATAAGAAAGTAGGCTGAGCAGGGGCCAGGGGAGCAAGCCAGTAAGCAGCATTCCTCCATGGCCTGTGCTCCAGCTCCTGCTTCCAGGTTCCTACCCTGACTTCCTACCTTGGGCTCCCTGATGAACTACAACCTGGGAGATGTAAGCTGAATAAACCCTTTCCTCCCCAAGTTGGTAGTGGTCAGAATGTTTTGTCACAGCAATGAAGAAACAAACTAGGACACTATGTTTAGGGCACTTAGGCCAGACTTGAATCTCTGCGCTTAGTATTAAAAAAAAATTTCTTGGGGGCTAGAGAGATGGCTTAGTGGTTAAGAGCACTGGCTGCTCTTGCAGAAGACCAGAGTTTGATTCCAAGCACTCACATGTTGGATCACAATTGTCCAAAACTCCAGTTCCAGAGAATCTAACGCCCTCTTCTAGCCTCCATGGGCAATGCATGACATGGATGCACTTACATAGTTGCAGGTAAAACATTCATACATAAAATATATATTTCTTGGATTTGATCCCTAGCATCACACACACACACACACACACACACACACACGCACGCACGCACGCACGCACGCACACACATACAATTCCACTTGAACTGTGAGTATGTGTGTATGTATACACACAGTGGGAAGTAATGAAGCTGGCCTGTGGATACAAATAGGTCTGGGCTTGAGTTCCAGCATCACTGACTGTGTGACTGGGGGTAAATTGCTTCACTTCTCTGGAGTCTTTGTTTGCTTTTTCTTTATGTGTTAATCTGTAAGACAGGAATAGAGAGCCTAGCAGACTAGAAGGATAGTCAGTTGAGATGACCCTAGTACTCAGGAGGCAATCCTGAGTTCCTAGGATTTCAACCATTTCCCCTCTCACTTAGCTTATTCAGCACATTTAAATGCCCAAACATTTTATTTCAAATTATAGTGATATCTATTCATTGTAGAAATTTGAAAGAATCAAAAATTCATATGGAGGGGGCTGGAGAGATAGCTCAGCAGTTAAGAGCACTGGCTGCTCATGCAGAGGACCTGGGTTTGGTTCCCAGCATCCTGTAACTTCACAACCACCTGTAACTTCAGTTCCAGGAGTTTGGATGCCCTCTTCTGGCCTCCACAAGCACTGGCATGCATGAGGTGCACATACATACATGCAGGCATGCGCACACACAAATTAAATAAAAGTAAAATAAATATTTTTTAAAAAACTCATATGGGTTAGATGAGGTGGCACATGCCTTTAGTCCTAGCACTTGCAAGGCAGAGGCAGGCAGATCTCTATGAGTTCAAGGCCAGCCTGATCTACATAGGGAGTTCCAGGCCAGCTGAAGGAAGCTTCCAGGCTACAGGAAGACACTGTCTCAAAAAGACCCCCTCAAAAAAAAAAAAAAAAAAAAAAAACATATGAAAGAAAATTTAAATCATTGTCATGTTACTCTCCAAGGATCACCACTATTAATATTTTAGTGACCTTCCCTCCCGGCTTTTCTGTTATGTATTAGTAAACAATCAAGATTATGTAAAAAAAAGACTGGAGAGATGGCTCAGCAGTTAAGAGCACTGGCTGCTCTTGCAGGACCTAGGTTTGATTCCCAGCACCCACAAACAACCATCTATAACTCCAGTTCCAAGGGAATCCAATGCCCTCTTCTGACCTCCATGAGCATTGCATGACATGGGTGCACTTACACACTTGTAGGCAAAACACTCACATAAAATAAAAATTAAAAAGTATGTAGAAAGCTTTGTGATCAGCTTTTTCACTTATTGTCCTAGTTAAGCTTTTCCCTGTTTGATTAGCCTTGGAGGACTTGACACTTAATATTCATACATTGCTTGGTATATTTTCCAGTTTTCAATATTGCACAAAGCACTTCACTAAGTGTCTTTATTCATCCATCTCTGTATGTGTCTGATGATTTCCTTAGGATAAATTACTAGAAATAGAATGACCTAATTAGATGATAGATTCATTGCCACGTGACATTTTAAATTTTATTTACTTATTATGATCGTGTGTGTGTGTGCATGCGTGTGTGTGCTGTATGAGTGGAGTTGGGCATGTGCCATGACACATGTGTGGAGGTCAGAGGACAACTTTTGGGAGTCAGTTCTCTCTTTCTATTCTGGGTTCTTGGTA